ATATATATATATATATACATTTGACAATTTTAAAAAAATAACATGGATAGTTCAACTAACTTTAATTTCTGGGTTGAATCAGTAGTCAGAATTGCATCTATAATCACAATGGTGAGATGAACTATTATGTTCAGCACAATACAAAGGGTTTGGAGCTCTAACTGACAGTCAAAATAGCATAATTTATAGAAGATTTTTCATTGTACACGTATAGATATCTCTATAATACTTTTTTTTATTAAACTTACAGAGAATCTTAGAACTAAGATAAGGATATTATTGCTCTATATTATGACAGTAACATCTCACAATGTAGACTTTTTTCCCTGTGGGAAGTGATTAATTTAGGCTGGTAAATTTAAATATTTGACTAAGTAACTACTTTAACTCCTTCAGAGAAAAGTTTATAGACAGGCCACGCACAGCTTCCAATTACTTAGTTACCAGTTCCTGGTAATTTGACAATCATCTTTCAAACTGTGTTATGACACTGAAGTACATTTTGCATGATTGTGTAGAATAACTAATGTCTGATAGATTTTTAAATCTTTGATTCTGTTTCCAGCTGAGTCCCTATTATAGCCTTGTAAAATATTGGACAAGCCTTTCTCATCCTTAATCCCTGACAGATTTATTTCTAGGAAAGAGGAATCCATCAAAGTCAGCTGCAGAAAGGCCAATTTTGATATGAGGCACCATCCTACCAACATATCTTTCTTCCATTCTTCTCATTAGCGATTGCTCAAGATTAACTCTAGTTTATTTGTTATTCGTAATATAGAATTATATTATTTTAAAGCAAACTTTCCAAAAGCCAAAATGTCCCATTGCAAGAGGGATCAAACTTAATGGTTTTATGAAAGCTTGGCTACTCGAGGCATCAGGATGTATTCTTTGACATCAGAACTCAAACAAGATGTTCCATAAAGGCTTCTACGAATGGATATGTAGCCCAATCATGCATTTTTTTAAAAAAAATTCTTTGATATTGATTTAATCCAAATCAATATCAAACGTGGAATGCTATGAACTTTTCCTCAACTCTGCAATAATTGTATATGAGTTTATAATCTTATTCCAGTTTCCTTCACTTTACAGACCTGTGAAGGTCATAAATGTAAGGATAGGTCATAAAGTCACTTTTGTGTTACTCTTCTAAAGGCAAATTGTTGCTACACGAGTCAGTACTTAAATGAGGGGTGCCTGTACTACCAGGATAAGTTCAATGGGCCTTGTTTTGGTGCTTTGTAACACAGAATAGAAACAAAAGCAGAGTGTAGGGTAGAAGCAAAAACAGCACCATGGTTCATAACATAACACTTTAAGTATGTTAGAAAACTATTTGCATCTAGGTAAGGAACTTCTTACTAACAGCAAATATGGCATTTTTTTTTAAAAAAAGCAAAAAATCTAAAATTTTAGAGGTAATTTTGCAAAGTAAACAATAGCCACGCTTTGTCTAATTTACACACTGCACAAACACTACCGGAAATATACAGAGCACAAGAGAGGAAGAGGAAGAGAAACTAGCATGTTTTTATTCCATAAATTAGGCTTTGAAGACTCAGAGTAGACTGAGTTTTTACTTGGTAAAAACATGTTGCATTTAAATAGATTAGAATGAACCCAATGATAAAATGGCCCCATAGCTACTTGCCTGCTTCTTATGTTTGCTTAGGGGGCTTGGGAGACAGACTGGTAGGTGAAATATAGGAAAAGTGTGAAAGAGATGAAAGTTTGTTGCATAAATGGAAATTTGTGAGACAGGCAGACATACTTAAGATCTTCCTTTCCACCTTTTTTTTTTTTGTTATTGCTTGGGTTTTTTTTCTCACTTTACCGAGAATTAGGTCTGATGCATAAAAAAAATGGTTTGGGTACATTCAGTATGCCACCCAGAACTTTCCATGAAGCCAAATACCATTTTTTTCAACAAAAATACCATTTTTTCCCCTACATACTGAAAAGAGATGTGATGAGAAAATTCCTGAAAGCTAATGTTTAAATTAGCAAAATGAAAATCTCAAATAATTGTCCATCAAACAAGAGCTGTAATGGAGGAAATTACCAGCTGGAGAAAAGCGTAGGAGAAATAGACTAATCCCCTTCTTCCAAGACGACAGATCTACCACAAGGCCAAAATGATGAAAAATGAGTTTGGATGGAACTTCGTTAAGTCACATGGTTTATGCTGTGATACACATTTCATCATTTGCCCTCTTGCTCCCCTTATGGATGTTCATGTGCAGTAACATGCCCTGGATTTCTCTATGGAGATGCTCAATCATCCAGGTCATGGTTATCCCAAAGGTGCTTTTTTTCAAAAGGCAACTGGATTTTCCTGGGTTTTTTCCCGTTAAAAACATTTTGCTTCTCATCCAAGAAGCTTCTTCAGTTCTAACTGATTGGTGGGGAAATTCTAGGCTTGGAAGAAGACTTGGAGTAAAGAAATGGTGACCACATTTTCCCTTGATAATAATAAGTTGTATTTAAACATACCCTGTATTTAAAGTTTCTTTATCTGTGGCTGCTATTTGAAAAGAAGTGTTAAGAAATTCCTGTCTAATTGTCCTCGTTTATTATGATTTAGTGGGTTACATAAAAAGAAAATACACAGTTCAATTTATTAGTTTACCTATTAAATGGCTTTGATTTCTTGAATCTGGGAGGTTATCTTCTGCATCTTCTTGAAAGTTTTCTCTTACTACCTTGACCTGCATGGCATTAAAAAAGAAAACAATAAAAATCTCTTTCAAGTATCTCTTTGGAAGAGCACAAGATAAAAGCCAAATGATTTCAGAACACACACACAGACATTATTTTTATTCTTTTGTTATCACCTTAGTGATAATATCTTAATATAACTTCCAAATCATACTCGGTAAGAATTTAAAGTCACTTCATCCTGTGATTAATGACTTCTAAATTGGTTCTAAATGCTTGAATAAAAGCAACATCATGCAGCTATCAAAAACAAATTTTGAAGACAAATAATCCTTAAACGAAAAACATCTTCTATGATTCACTTTTACAAAAGCAAAAAAATAGAGTTAAATCTCATGAAGGCATGTATTATTCTCTTTGGAAATATCACGTGTCATGATATTCATTTACACTAATAACACGAGATGTCCATGAAAAGTACTGTAGGACGTTCCTTTATTCAGTGCTAATATTACTTAGGCTTTATGCCAATAACGGCTGACAAACCTTTATCAAGTGCAATGCATTATCAGAGGGGGAACTAAATATAAGCAGTGGTTTATGAAGTCTCCATATCCCACTCTCCTTTGTGCACGTTAAATTCCATTTTAGATTAATCAATTTGGGGGAAAGTCCCAGAACTACTGAGATATAATGTCTAATTTAGTTCAAGGTAATTTGTAGAAGAATGATACTGAAACAGAATAAATCATTTCTGCTGTAGTTGTGCTTCACTATCATCAGTCATATAGCCTTGGAATATTTACAGGCCCACCTTATATGCCACTTAGTTAAACAGTGCCTTAAGTGTATATGAAAAACAACATTCCCCACAAATAAATACTACAGTCTAATTCACCCACAGCTCATAAGCATCAGTGGGCTGGATCAACTCTGTGTTAGCCTGGAACAATTTCATTACTTCTGACCCCTTCACATATACTACATAGATAGGGTTCCTACCAATTGTGAGATAGGGTAGTAGAATATCTATAACAGAAGAGAATAGTAGAATATCTGTAGTAACTACACATATTCCCTAGACCAGAGGTCCCCAACCTTTTGGGCACCAGGGACCGATTCTGTGGAGAGAGGTTTTTCCATGGACTGGAGGGTGTGTGGTTTTGTGTGCTGCCTGCATCTCATGGATGGGGCTTTGCTTGTTTGTGCGGACCAGTTGCTGGCATGCCGTGGCCTGGTACTGGTCTATGGACCGGAGGTTGGGGACTCCTACCCTAGGCAATTGGACTTCATTGTTGTTAAAGGAATATGTAACTGCATACATACATAGATTATTAGAGCACACAATTGCACCTAACACCGTTCTGTCTTGAACAGTCTATATGCATTCATTTAATGCAATCCTAAGCCTTTAATCAACCCACTGTAAAAGAATTGATGCTACAACATATCAAGAAATACAAAGTTTGATA